AAAAAAAATTGGTTTTCTAACAGTTAGGTGCATAACAATAGTGATAGTGATAGAAATAGTAATAGTAATAATAAGGCAGGTAGGCAGCACAGGAGATAAAGTGTCAGGCCTGGAGTCAGGAAGATTCATTTTCCTTAGTTCAAATCTGGCCTCAGACACTTATAGCTGTGTGACCCTGGGCAAGTCACTTAACCCTGTTTGCCTTCGTTCCTCATCTATAAAATGAGCTGAAGAAAGAAATGGCAAATCACTCCAGGATCTTTGCCAAGAAAATTCCAAATGAGGTCACGAAGAGTCAGACACAACTGAAATGACTGAGTAACAGCAAAAAATAGAGCGAGGGCCCAGACCTCTGATTTCACTACTGTAAAGAACCACTTGGTGAGGAAATTTCCTCTACCAATGCAGGTCTTAGCACCTTCTCCACAACTTAAAGTCTTAGAGAATTGCAAAGAGCACTGAGAAGTTAAATGATTTACCCAGTACTACATAGCCAGTATATGCCAGAGGACTAGAACTCAGGACTTACTAGCTTTCTGTCCACTATGTCATGCTTTTTCATAAAAAATATTAGGAATGTTAGCATGGATATTATATTAAAATATAAGAACAAACAAAATGAAAAAGGATAATATAACACACATTTGTATATGTAATACATGCATATGTGAATGTCTTATTAAAGATATTTATCAAGTGTAATCTATCCTTTTTGGGGATATTGTTTCTTTTTCTTTTTTTTTTTGATTGGGCAATGAGAGTTAAGTGACTTGCCCAGGGTCACACTAACTGTAAGTGTCATGTGTCTGAGGCCAGATTTGAACTCAGGTCTTCCTGCATCCAGGGCTGGTGCTCTATCCACTGCGCCACCTAGCTGCCCCATGGGATACTGTTTCTTAACCCTGTTTGTCTTAGTTTTCTCATCTGTAAAATGAGCCAGAAAAGGAAAGGGCAAACCACTGCAATATCTTTGCCATGAAAACCCCAAAAGAAGTCACAAAGAGTCAGACATGACTGAACAACGATGACAAATTAAAATCATCCTATAGTTCCACCTAATAACCACAAAATTGTTAAAAATGATGAAAATTAGAAATACTCAGTGTTGGAGAGGTTCTGGAATGATAGCACACTAATGAATATTGATGAAACTATGAATTCACAAACTTCAGGGAAACTAGGTGACCCAGTGGATAGAGCACTGCGCCTGCAGTCAGGAAGACCCAAGTTCAAATCCAGCCTCAGACACTTATGCTGTGAGACCTGGACAAGTCACTGAATCTCAGCTTGCCTCAGTTTCCACAACTGCAAAATAGAGGTGATAATAGCACTTTCTTTAAGGGTTGTATTGAGGCTAAAATTAGATAATATTTGTAAAGCATTTAACATAGTGTCTGGCACATAGATAAATGTTAGTTGTTGTTATTAGTATTATTATAGATTATTATTATTATTACTATTATTATTATAACAACCATTCTGGACAGTAATTTGGAGTTGTGCAAATAAAGTGACTAAATTGACCCAGATATATCACTACTGGAATATCTCAAGAGGTCATTGACCAAAATAAAGACTCCAAATATACCAAATTATTTATAGTAGCACTTTTTGTGGTATATAAATATTTATTGACTATGGAGCAAAGAACTAAAAAAAGCAAATCCCCACAGATTGAAGAATGCTTAAACAAATTATGGTAGATACATGTAGTAGAATATTGCCATGCTTTAAGAAACAGCAAACTTGATAAATACAGAGAAGTAGAGAAAGATGATGTCAACTGATACAAAGTAACTTAAACAGAAACAGGAAACCAACATGCACACTTAGCACCATAATGTAAATGGAAAGAACCATCACAAAACAACTGAAACTGAATGCTGTGGAATTATAATGACAAGGCATGGGCCCAAAGAAGAAATATAAAAAGACAAATCCCCAAAGATCATGGTCCATGGTTGTGGAACACTGCATGGAATTCTGTTTATGAGCTACAGTAAAGCTAAAATCAGTAGGATGACTGCACTAGGTTTGATGTTAATATGGTAAGCCCCAGACTACCCAAGGAAGGGTGAACCAACCTGGGTTAGAAATGGAGATCAGAATTCCAGTACTGATCAGCAGTGAGATAAATCTTGTGAGTGCCTGCTGTACTTCCAACCTGGACAAGATAGGGAGACTCAATCTCATTATAATCCAATCCATTTCAATTCAATAAATATTTATTAGTTATGTGCCTGTGATGTGCCAGACATTCTGCTAAGTGCTAGAAATATAAATTAATATAAAAAAAAGACAGTCCTTGCCCTCCAGGAGCTTACAATCCAAAGGGAGAGACAATATACAACAGGAGGCAGGAAAGATGAAAGGGGAATGGCCACTGGGGAGCACTTGGATAATAAGGCAAACCGCTCTAGTAACTTTGCCAAGAAAACCCCAGATGGGGTCATAGAAGAGTCAGGCACAGCTAGAATGACTGAACAGTGACAACTAGAGATAGAGAGTAGACCTGTGATTTCACCACTATAAGAAACTCCCTAGTGTTGCAAAGTGGAGTCCAATTCCTGAGAGTCCAGTTCCTGCCCCTTTTTAAAGAAAGGCACATGGAGGAGTTTGGCACTCTGCCCTCCACTCTTCCAATTAGAGGAGAAAGAAGATTGAGGGAGGTGGTGTCAATAAGACTGGAGATAGCAGCACAGTGGTGAGGTTAGAAGTGATGAGTTTATCCTGGGAGGAGCATCTCGTTCTGTGTTGCTGAAACCAGAGTAGCAGATGCAAAGTAGAATTGTGAACATCATCATCATCACCACTACCACCATCATCATCATCATCACCACCAGCATCATCATCATCATCATCATCATCATCATCATCATCATCACCACCACCAGCATCATCATCATCATCATCATCATCATCATCATCACACCAGCATCATCATCATCATCATCATCATCATCATCATCACCACCACTACCACCACCATCATCATCACCACCACCATCATCATCATCATCATCATCATCATCATCACCACCACCACCATCATCATCATCATCATCACCACCACCACCACCAGCATCATCATCATCATCATCATCATCATCATCACCACTACCACCAGCATCATCATCATCATCATCATCATCACCACCACTACCACCACCATCATCATCATCACCACCACCATCATCATCATCATCATCATCATCATCATCACCACCACCACCATCATCATCATCATCACCACCACCACCACCAGCATCATCATCATCATCATCATCATCATCATCACCACTACCACCAGCATCATCATCATCATCATCATCATCATCACCACTACCACCAGCATCATCATCATCATCATCATCATCATCACCACCACCAGCATCATCATCATCATCATCATCATCATCACCACCAGCATCTCATCATCATCATCATCATCATCATCATCATCATCACCACCACTACCACCACCATCATCATCATCATCACCACCACCACCATCATCATCATCATCATCATCACCACCACCACCACCAGCATCATCATCATCATCATCATCATCATCATCACCACTACCACCAGCATCATCATCATCATCATCATCATCATCATCACCACCACCATCATCATCATTATCATCATATCAGAATATACCCTTATTTTCTGTAGACTTTACTGAAACATGTGGATAACTCTAGTGGCAGATGGGATGACAAGGATGATATGCATTTTCCCCCATTGCCATGTAGTTTTTTTTAATTCCTTCTACTAGGTATTTATTTTTTAAGAGCTTTTCATTCCATATACTTTGGAAGTTAGGGTGTCCAACAACATCCATTAAAAATTGTTCTTGCATTTTTGTGTGGTGAATGTTCTATCAGGGCATGATAGTTTGATTGTGACAATGCTCTAGATCCAGCATGGAATATTTTTTGGATTATTAAGATATAAAAACCACTGTCTTGTTTGTTAAGTTCAGTCATTTTTCAGTCTTGTCCACCTCTTTGTGACCCTATTTGGGGTTTTCTTGGCAAAGATATGGCACTAGTTTGCCATTTCCTTCTCCAGCTTATCATACAGATGAGGCAAACAGGGTTAAATGACTGCCCAGGGTCAAATTGCTAATAAGTGTTTGGGGCCAGATTTGAACTGAGGAAGATGAGTCTTCCTAACTCCAGGCCCTCATTCTATCTTCTGCATCATATTTGTCACCTGTTTATGAAGTACAGTGAGTTTGGTTTTCAGTAGGTGTTAACATTTGGGCCTGTGCAATGATATGTTGGCACATACTGTTTCTTTGTAAAACTGTATTAATCTCCAAGTCTGGGCTTCTTAAGAATGAACTTTCTGGTAGCAAAGACCAAATCCTATAATGCTATCATGACTCCCTCCATTTCTTTTCTTTTTTCTTTTTAAAATTTTGTTCTTGACCTCTTCCATTTCTGTTATCAGTCATTTGTTCAAAAATACTTCTTTGCTATCTCGTTTTTATCTTGTTTGATGACATTTAGATCAAAATAGTCCTGGGAAAAGTTGCTATATAGGTATTATTCTTTAATGTTCTTTGAACTGTTGTTCAGGTCGGTAAAATGATTGACTATTGCACTTAAATAAAAGGAATGGGATTATTATTATTATTAGTTTGATATTAGTTACTAAATCAGACTAGAGATTAATTGTCTGGCTTCTTTCCCACTCTACCTCACTCAATTGAATTGAGCAATTCAGACTTGGAAAACATTTGGGGATAAGGGACTACTCTGGATCTTGAGTCTCTGATACTCTTTCTTACTCACACTGATACAGTTTCTCAGCATCCTTTTGTGCCTAAAGATTGGAGAAGACAAAGGAACGATGTCTTCTTACTTTCATACCTATTTCACATCTTCTTGGCTTGTATTGGTTATCCCCCATATGCCTAACGGTATGGCTCTGCCTTGTGAAGCCCAACTTTTATTTCCAATGTTCATTTGTCTTTTTCTCACCAGGAATGAGGGGAGAATCTTATTTCATTGGAATGAGAAATCCTGGGCAATATGGTCACCTCTCAGAAGATGGAGGACTTTTCTTACTATACTGCATAGATAGAGACTGGGATATAACAAGATGTTTCACAGAAGAAGCCTTTCAAGCAATAACCGACTTCAATGACCTTCCAAATGCTCTATTTGCCTGCAACGTTCACCAGTCAGTATTTGAAGGAGAAGCCAGTAAGGTAGAAGCCCTTTTTTTATTTATAAGACCTGATGGTGCCATGATATTTTGGAGGACTTTTTGTTCTAATTTACATGTGTTTTTTTTTCTTCATCTCAAAGAAAGTTCTTTGTGAAATGTTTAGATTGTTCCCTTCTGAGTATACACAGGAGAATGAAAAGATTATTTTTTACTACCTGTTAAGTGTTAGAAGCCTATGAGTTGCTGCTCTATAGAATAGATTTTGTTGAGCAAAGTTGCTATCTCCAGGGGATCAACAATTGAAGGACAGCTATAGCAGATGAAAAGGATAAAATATTTTGAAGAACATAGACTATGAGAAATTCTTTTTAGGGTAGGAAGTAGGCTCTCTTGGTATTTCAATTAAAAAATTTCTCTTCCTTGCCCCTTATCCAGCCTCAGCCAGAAATGTGACTTTTGCCTCAAAATTATCTGATAGCTAATTATCCAGGTTTTGGTACAGCCCTTACCATCTATATTATTATGGACTTTCTTCATAAAATCTAACTCAATTTTGTGTCAGCTTTTAAGATTTCTAAAGTGTTTCTCACTCAACAGTATCATTAGCCCCATTTTAGAGATGGGGAAAATAAGGCTCAAGGAGACAATATGACTTATTTGGGGTCACACAGCTAAGAAAGTGTTGGAACCAGGCTATGAAGTTATGTCTTGGTCCTTAGCAGCATGGTAAAGGGAAAAAAAATTCTGGATTTTGAGTCAGAAGACCTAGGTTCAAATCTTGGCTCTACTATTTATTAGCTGTAGGACTTTGGACAAGTCACCTCACTCTTGGCCTCACTTTTCTCATCTATAAAATGAAGTGGCTTGACTAGGTGGTCTTTAAAGCACCCTTTCAGCTCTAATCTCTGAGCAATGATCTATGATTCTGTAACTGAGTTCTCTCCTCCATGAAATACTGCTTGAAAGTAAATTGGGAAAATATGGTCAACATAGGTACAGAATTCATATCAGGTCGTGGAGTCAGTTCTGCTATGTTGCTGATGTATTCATTCTTAAAAAACACTGAGCTATTTAAAATTGTAAGCAACTAGATGTCTCAGTGGTAAAGTACTGGGCCTGGAGTCGGGAAGACCTGAGTTTAAATTTGACCTCAGACACTTACTAGCTATGTGACCCTGGGCAAGTCACTTAAACCTTTGTTTTCCTTAATCCTCTGGAGAAGAAGGAGGTAAACCACTCTGGTATCTTTGCCAAGAAAATTCCATGGATAGTATTGGCATGCCTTTAGGGTTAGGGTTGGGGGCTCATGAAGAGTCAGACATGACCGAAAAACAACAATGCAAAATTGAACAATAAAAACAATAGAAATTCTAGGGAAAATGAGGTTAAGGGTACAATGCTGAAAAATAAAAAAAAGCCTTCGTTACACATTAAATAAAAATAAAAAGGGATCTAATAAAAATGGTAGTTTTTTACTGTTATATGGTTAAGAAATATGTAAGTATTGCAGTAAAGAGTGGCCTGGTCTGTAGCCTCCAGCTGCTGCTTGACCTCTGCTCCAGGTTGCAAGAGGCAGTTGGGCAGGTGAAAACTCCAGGCCTCTGGCTGGAGGTTATGGCAGAAGTGGGTAGAGTAGAGATGGGGATGGGAGTGGTGAGGACCAGTGCTACCTAACTGCTATGGCACCAGCAGATAAGCAAAAAATGCAACACTTCGTCTTGGCAAAGACCTGAAGTTTGCTTGTAGAAGTGGATGTAGGAAGGGTTGCAGCTTGCGAGTTATTGTGAAGTTGTGCTGCTTTCTGAACGTTCTCTCTGTTGCTCTCCAAAGAAACCATGCATAAGCAAACTCGAAATCTGAGTCATGCTCAAAATGTTCTCTAATATATCGATCAAGTTGAAACAAATTCTTCTTTTTGAAATATGTTACAGCAGAACTGTCTGTGCTGAAAAAATGGACATTCATGGTTCAGTCTTCAGTGGCTCACTACTGCCATTCACATCAAATATCAACTCCTTAGCCTGATTCTTAAATCTTTTCATAGTGTGGCTCCTACTGATCTTGGTGGGGGGAGCTTATTTAATATTTTTACTTTTTACTGTACTTGTACTTAACTGGTAGTGGTTCCCTAAGCTCAACATTACATCTCTCCTCACTATGACTTTGCAATAGCTATTCTCTGAGCCTGGAATACACTTCCTTATTACCCAGCTTTCTTCAAGGCTCACCTTGGGTGCTATTTCCTGTAGGAAGCCTTTCCAGAGTCTGCTCTCCCGCAGTTGGTAGATTTTCTCCCAACTCAATTTAACTTCTATTTACTTATCTGTGTAAATACTGTATCTCCTATTAGATTGGATATTCTTTGAGGGCCTCAAGAACTGTGTGTATTCCCCGGGCCTAATGCAAGGGTGGTGAGCCTGCGGTCTCGAGAACACATGTGGCCTTCTAGGTTCTTGGGTATGACTTTCTGACTGAGTCCAAGTTTTACAGAACAAATCCTTTTATTAAGGAAATTTGTTCTGGGAAGTTTGGATTCAGTCAGAGGGCCGCACTTGAGGACCTTGAGGGTCACACGTGGCCTGGAGGCCACAGATTCCCCAACCCTGGAATGCAAAACCTTGCAACTTAATGAATATTTGTTGAATTGAATTGAGTCAAATAGCAATTGTAGAAATGTAAAGCCTAAAGATGGCAAGAGTTTTCCCAGGACCTTTTTAATATTTTGGGCAATGAATTTTAATACTGCTGTCTGGAAGTAATTAGAGAATAAAATAGAATAAATACAACAAAGTGCACTGGGGAGATGTACTGGATAGAGAGTTGGTTTGGGAGTCAGGAAATCCTGGGTTCAAATCATATGACTAGGCTGTATGACCCTAGGTAAGTCACTTCACTTTGTCTGTCCCAGATAACCATCTAAGACTGTAAATTGCTGAATTGTTTGAAGATCTTTCTGTACAGGTAGGGAGAGGGAAGGGAATAAACATTTACAGCACGCACTGTGTGCTAGTCACTGTGCCAAGCACTTTTTTTGCAAATATTATCTCATTTGAGATTCTCACAACAATATTAGCCCATTTTACAACTGAGGAAATTGAGATAAGCAAAGGTTAAGTGACTTAACCAGGGTCACACAACTAGTAAATGTCAGGCACATTTGAACTGAGGTCTTCCTGACTCCAGACCTAGCTTTCTAGTCACTTCACCACCTAGTTTCCTCTAGCTGGTAGGGGAAGTTTCCCTATTGGGAGCTCCATACACTAGTGGAAGCACAGGGTGATCCCCTCCCAAAATATAAATAATACATATTTTTCATATATATATATATATATATATATGTATGCTATAATAATATGGTATAATATAGGATATATTATATATAATAATTATAGATATTATGTATGTATATACACATACACACATATGTATATGTAAATTTGCAATTGTAAGGGACATCAAATCACACAGCCTTATTTTACAGATAAGGAAACTGAAGTCCAGAGAGAGATGTTGACTTGCACAAGCTGATATAGTAAATAGCAGAGCCGGGATCCATTTCTATTATCTTTGACTTTAGATAACAGTTTTTATCTTCTCTCTGTATCTAACTGCCTTTCTGGAGGTGGTCCCCTGCTTCACTTTCCCTTCCATTCATCAGGAATGAAAATGAAGTCATTCCATTTGTCCACATGAATAATTGGGAACACCACCAGAATTGAAAAGGGCCTTGAGAACATTGGACAGGTGGAATAAACAAGGAATAAACAAGATGGAGATCAGTGGTGACCAGTGAAGAAGAAATGACTCAGAGCCCACAGCCAAAGAAGGGATTTTTACAGTAAACAAGTAGTCACATCTGTTAAAGCTAGCAAAAAGCCAGACATCTGAACCTTGGCCTTAATTTTATTATATATAAACAATTTGATAGAGGAGTAACAAAGTTTGTCAGACGAAAAAAAATCGGCTGAATCTACTGAGTGAGGTGAAGCTGTGGAAGAATTGAAGTGCTTTGGAGTCATTGGCTTCCTGTGTCTCTCAGGAGGATCAGGACTACTCACCTTCCTTCTTACATCTCCTTTCTTCCCTGCCTCATTAAAGCCTACCTTTACTGTTAATGCTCTCTGCAGGGTGACAGCTAATTCTAATACTGTCATATCCATCCTTGCAAACTGCTTACATTTTCTTCCCTTAATTTTTTTTCTTAATACTGATATCTTTTGTTTTTTCTAAATTTTAATTCTAACCCTATATCCTCCCTTCTCTACCTAGCCAGCCATCCCTTGTAACAAAATTTTTTTTAAAAGGAAAGAAAAAAAATTGGATTTCAATAAAATGAATCAGTGTATCAATTGAGTCTGGCAATGTCCCAAACCCATAGTCCCCCACCTCTGCAAAGAAGGGAGGGAGGTAGCATGCTTACATTTGAACAAGGTCTTCAGTGGACAGGAACAATGAAATTCCACCAAATGGCTGGAATTTCAGTCATTATTTTGAGCTCTTGGAGAGTTATTTGGAGTCTGAGGAAGAGAGAGGAGTTCTTTAACTCTCGTATAACATAGGCAGATAGTTGCTTTGTGAGAAGGACTAGCTACCCTCAATGATTGCCAGTAAAGGCATGTGGGACATGCATGCATTTCCATGGGCTGTGGTGACCAGTAGCTTCTTTAACAACATTGGGGTTATGTCAGGAGGCTCAGATAGGGTAAGAAAAGCATATGAAGGTTACAATCCATACAGGATGGGTATGTGAGTGACTAGAATTAGAAGATGTTTAGGCAGAGCTTATTTTTGTCCTCCTACTTTTGAGGCTATTGGTCTTGGGGTCTGTTCATTTGTCCAAATCAGTACAACTTCAGTACAGTCATCTTGCCTTCATTTGCTTTAAATACTGACATGGCCATTTTGGCAGAGGAGTTGGTTTCATGAAACTGAAGTCAGTAGCACCCAATGATATGTCTGCCCGCACATATGGAGGACCTTCCCCAACCCCATTTGTTTTAGGTGATTTGTGTGAACCAAAATAGTTAAATGTAAGGGATA